TTCTTTCTTTCTTTCTTTCTTTCTCTTTCTCTAAAATTATTTATTATTGTTTTAATCAATTAAACCCGCATTTCATGTGAAGGTCTGCACAACACTTGCCATGAAATTGAAGCACATTTTAGGCGAAAACGATATCAAACCCGACGAAGAGATTACTAATAATAACACATCAAACAAATTGATCGACAAATACGTGAAAAACATGCGCGAAGATGAAGTCCTGCTGAAAACATTGCATCAACTGATCCTCGACTCGAGCGACGAGAACAGCAATCTCGACAAAGAGATGGCCCGTAAGTGTGTCGACAAACTCCGGGCGGATCTATCGGGCAAAGAGCCAACTCTAGACCTGTCTCAGGACCTAATCAGTCGGGTATCGAAGAACGAGCATCTGATCCGATCCCTTGTGGACATTGTCAGCGAGAATAACGTACCGAAAAAGGAGATCAAAGTCCTGGAGATGAACACAGCGGGCGGCGGGGCTTTGATGGCTCACGAGGTGGACGCATACCTGGCCTCCGCTGCCCTCTACCCGATCGACGTGGGCTATAGTGTGGCCGTCCGGGCGCTGAACACCGTTCCCGATAGTTTCCGTAGCGGCCGGGCCTTCAAACTGATGGAGTGGTCGCCCGAAGAGTCGCCGTTTCCCAGCGATATATCGCCCAAAGATCTGGTGATCGCACGAGACTCGGAGGACTTGTGGCCGCTGGACATGGAGTCACACCTGCAAGAAGTGCACGACGTTCTCGTCGAACAGGGCTTTCTTATGGCCGTATTTCGTACGCGAGTCACACCACCGGAGCTAATGTTGGCTCAACTCTTGGACCTTAAGACTCCTCCCGGAGCCGATCGATTGGCCAAACGTGTGGACGACTACACAGCGGAGGCGCACAAAATGGGTTTTCGTCTCGTCGGCCGCAAAGACGATTCCGTGAATTCGGCGGCACTGCTGTTCCGGAAGGTGACCGACAAAGGGCTGCCCGATAAGCACCGGGTGATCAACATTGACACCAATTGCGAGAAATGGTTTGATGTGTTGAGAGAGAAACTCGTCGCGTGTAAAGACAATGACGAAAAGTTACCACTTTGGTTGGTTGGCACCGGTGGTGGTGGCGATGGCCAGACATCGCCAGACACAGCCATTAACGGTATCATCGGTTTAGTGAACTGTCTGCGTCTGGAACCGGGAGGCGATTGTATTCGGTGTCTGTTTGACTCGGAGTCCACCAAATCAGAGATCGATATCCGCCACAAACCGTACGCCGATATACTGGCCATGGATTTGGCGGTGAATGTGTTGAGCGGCGGCGGACGGGTCGGCACTTATAGGCACCTGACTCTGCACCGGGACTACGACCGGTTCGCGTCCAACAACTACTTCTTGAACGTTACCCAAAACAAGGATCTGTCGAGTCTTCAGTGGTTCGACTCCAGACAGTTGGTCAGTCCGATTGGGCCCACATATGATCTGTCCAACAATAAGATCAATAATGTCCGGTGCGATGTCTACTGCGCCGGACTAAACTTCCGGGACGTGATGTTTGCCACCGGTAAACACAATAAACACACATGGTTATTCATTTTTAATAAATGATCATGTTTATTTTTGTTTTGTGGTCACTTATAGGCCGCATAGCTGCGGGTCCGCAGTCGCTATTCATGGACTGTCTGATAGGGTTTGAGTTCGCGGGCCGGCGGGCGGACAACGGGGAACGGGTTTGCGGTTTCACACTCTCGCGATCCTTCGCCACCGAAGCGACCACTAATGACCGGATGGTGTCTCACATACCCGACCACTGGTCGATGGAGGAGGCGGTCACTGTTCTCAGCACATACAGCACCGTATGGTACGGACTCATCAAACGGGCTAACCTTATGAAGGGTATGCCATTCACATTATCATAATGTTAAATTTAAAGTTAACATCACGATTAATTAAATTATGTTTTCACAGGCGAGCGCATACTGATCCACTCGGGCGCCGGTGGTGTGGGTCAGGCGGCTATAAGCATATGCCAGTACTACGAGTGCGACATATACTGTACGGTGGGAACCGACGACAAGAAACGCTTTCTGATGGCTGAGTACGGAGTGCCGGAGTCGCGGATCTACAGCTCGCGAGACATACAGTTCAAGTACGCCATCAAACAGGCGACGGGCGGGAAGGGTGTGAATCTGGTGCTCAACTCACTGACGGGCGACAAACTGGAGGCCAGTTATGACGTGATCGCCGATTGCGGTCGGTTTGTCGAGATCGGCAAATACGACCTCCAGATGAACAAACAGTTGGGAATGTTTACCTTCTTGAGGGACGTGGCGTTCATCGGTGTCTCTGTCGACATGAAGCTGTATTTGGAGAACGGCTTCACCGACGAGTTCTTCGAGTGGATGCACCGGAACTCGAGGAATGGCTGCGTTCGGCCCATCAATCGTACGGTATTCCCGGCCGCGGAGGCCGAGAAAGCGTTCCGATACATGACTACCGGTAAACACATCGGGAAGATATTGTTGCGGATGCGCGACGAAGAGCAACCGGTGCTGCCAGTGCTCCGGTCGGGTGCGGTGGCGCCGGCCGGCCAGTTGACGGTCACCGGCAAGACCTACTTCGACCCGAACAAGTCGTACGTGATTGTGGGCGGATTGGGCGGCTTCGGCGTAGAGTTGGCCCATTGGATGATCACTTTGGGCGCCAGGCGACTGGTGCTGGTCTCGCGGTCCGGCGCCCGACACGACTACCAGAAGTTTGTCATCAGACGGTTGGAGGCGTTCGGCCAACGACTCAAGTGGTTCGACAGCCGCGTGACTGTGTCTACGGCCGACTGTCGCACCACTGCAGGCGCCCGACAGCTGTTGGCCGAGGCGAGCGCGTTGGGTCCGGTGGGCGGTGTGTTTCATTTGGCACTCGTGTTGAACGACTGTCTCATCGAGAATCAGACGTATGACAAGTTCGCAGAAACGGTTGAGTCAAAGACCCAGTGCTGCGCGGAGTTGGACGCGGCCAGTCGTGCCCTACCCGTGCCGTTGGACTATTTCGTGGTGTTCTCGTCGGTCTCGTGCGGCAAAGGCAACGCCGGTCAGAGTAACTACGGTTACGGCAACTCTGTTTGCGAGAGGATATGCGAGCGCCGCAGGGCTCAGGGGTTGGCCGCGCAGGCCATCCAATGGGGACCCATCGATGACGTCGGTGTGATCGCCGACTCCGATAAGTTTAGCACATTTTCAGGTGTTGTGAAGCAACGGATCAACTCGTGTCTCGAGATATTGGATAAATTGCTTCAATCGGATCACCCGATTGTCTCATGTGTGGTAAGTGTCTTAAAGGATGGTATAATTAGCATGAGGTCATTTATGTTAAATAAATTAACTAGTTAATAAATAGATAATAAATTAATGTTAATGTAAATACTGTTAATAATGTTAATACTAAATGTTTAGTAATTTACCATATTTTTAAAATTTTTAAGGTGANATACTAAATGTTTAGTAATTTACCATATTTTTAAAATTTTTAAGGTGAGGGCCAAACGTCAACTGCAAAGCGGCACTCGAGAGGCCCGTATAGTGGCCCAGATCTGGATGGCTCTGGGCATCGACCCGAACACAACACCCGATCACTTGACACTCGGCGAGATAGGCATGGAGTCCATGTTTGCCGTCGAGTTTCAACAGGGGTTGGAGAGGGACTACGACATCAAACTGACCCTAAACGACATCAAAAACATAACCATCCGCAACATGAAAGACTTCGAGGCCGGTCGGGTCGAAGTGTTCAAACAACTGGCCAAAGACATCAGGGAAGCGCGCGACAAGTTGAGCAAGATCAAGTTTATCATACCCATCGAGACGCACACCCGACTAAACGCGGTCAAAACGGGTAAACCCGTGTACTTCTTGCCACCACTGGAGGGTATATTCGCGTCGCTGGAAGTGTTGGCCGAGAAGATAGACCGTCCGGTGATTGGCCTGAACTGGACGGCCGACGTGGACGGCCTGCGCGACCTCAAGTCGATCACCGATTACTACATACGTCTGTTGGACTCATTGCAGCCGTCGGGCGGTTACGACGTCGTCGGCCACTTCTACGGCGCTCTGTTGGCCGTAAAGATGTTGCGCCGGAAGTCCGCTCACCTAAGTCGATCACCGATTACTACATACGTCTGTTGGACTCATTGCAGCCGTCGGGCGGTTACGACGTCGTCGGCCACTTCTACGGCGCTTTGTTGGCCGTAAAGATGTTGCGCCGGAAGTCCGCTCACCTGAACAAGACTGTCATCATTGATATGCTGTCCGAGACTCAGATGACCGACGAGATGGTCAGCGATGAGTATTTGGTTGAATTGATCACTAAATTCATATCCAAAGACTTGCCACAAGTGGTGAAGGATAAACTGTTGAGAGATATGCGCACAACGGGTGGCGATGTGTCCGCCAAACTGTCCAAACTGTCGGCTGAGTTGCGGGAGTTTGTGGGCAAAGGTCTGGTCAGCAAGAATTTGGACGATATTCTGAAGAATAGCTTCTTTAGAGCGAAACTATTTACTGGTTATCGACTGAAAATGAAGAATAAACTCAAACAAAAGGCACTCAATTTGGGCAAAAAGTTTCTCCAAATGAATGGCAAACTATTGATTATTAAGCCTAATGTCGAAAAGCCGAAGGAGACTAAGGATGGCAAGCAATCGACGGCCACCGCCGACCCCGACATCGATGGACAGATTGACCGAATTAAAGACTCTTACTTTTTACCCGAAAAGGTATAGTTTGTTTTCAATCGATATTGTTTTTGCTTATATCATGTATTAATGTATTGTTTTTATGCCATTGTTTGTTGTGTCGGCGCCGATGACCAGGGATTGGAGGGTAAACTCAACTTCAAGACAGTGGACGACAATCCCAATGATCTGAGTTTTGACAGAATCGCCGACTCTATCAACGAATTTCTTATTAAATAATTTTTGATTTTAATTTTGATTATATTTCTTACATGTTTTGGTTATATTTTTACTTACTTTTTTGTAATTTTTTAAAGTTGAATAAAATATTTGAAAAATTAAATTGATAACCACACTATCGACAGACAATTGGTCAGAATCGGGAACAGCACTACCGAAGACATCCCAAACCAAACAACTCATACCAAAAGGCAAATGACCGGCAGTTTTGTCCGATACTACTGTTTAGATAATTGTTTTGCATTTCATTTGATATTTTATTAGTCTTTTAGTAAATATTTTAACAGTAAAATAAAAGTTTTATTCAAATAGATTTCCTTCTTATTTGAAAGTTATTTATTTTTATGGCAACTTTATTATGTTTGTTACAATTTAGTTTATTATAATTTATAATATTTAAATTAAATGTTATTCCATTGATTTACATTGATTTAATGTTTCTTGTTCTGTTGAACAGTTTATTGTAATTGAAAAATTTATTAAAATAATCACAAATGTCTAACAGATTGCTATTGAATGCAAACAAAATAATATTTAACAAAAAGTAAAAAATTAGTATTGATATAACAAATATGCGTTAAAATAAATGTCAATTTTCTATAAGTAATGAATGAATGCAATGAAAATTAATGTCAATATAATTAGGAAACTGATTATAACGCCGGTAACGATAGTCCAGGTGTGGGCGCCAGTGTTGGACAGTTCCGGGGCTATGTCTTCGGCGTTGGGCTGTCGTGTGGTTCGCGGCTGAGGACTGGTTTTGGGCGCCAATTGATCGCCGGCAAAGATGACCATATTTGGTAAATCGAAAAATTTGTCGTCAAAATTAAAGCCACAAAATTTAAATGATTTAATTTTCGGGCATTTCTTAGTAATTATTTTTAGATCTGATTTCATTAATCCAAACTTCATTTGACTATTATATGGATAAATAGACAGCAATTGCAATGAAGATAGTTTTGAGATACAGAGCAACCATTGGCTGTCAATCTTTAAGTTACCGGTGATATGGAGTGTCTGTAGTTTTGGTTGTGTGGACACAATCTGTTTAATTATATCGTACCGAAAGTTCCATAACCTGATCCACAAGTGTGTCAATTGTGGCCAACCATTCAATGCTTGTAATTGAGTCCAATCGGTGGTCCAATAGTCGACTAATAGCTCCAGACGTTTTAAACGTGGCATATATTGAATGGCATTCAGTATCTCTACATTCAATGCCGTGTTATTTGAGGAAACAGATATTGAAAACCTCTTGAGTTTTACACACTTTATGCCAATTGTCTTAAGATAACCATCGATTGAATACTGAAGAATCGGGTAATTGTTGAACCAAAATATTAATTCTCTGAGTTCTTGAAATTCACTTAATTGTGTCATCAATTGAGTGACCATTGATTGCGATACAAGTCCTAAGTCTATGGCTTTGATGTCAAGGCTGTGAAGACGTGTCTTATAATAATTCACAAATAATTTAAATGTATTTGCATTGAAGCCATCGGTTTCCCAAAAAAGTGCACCTTTTTAATGTTATTAAATTGCTTTAATTGATTGTCTTCTTCGGTGGTAAACATATTGCAAACAGTAGTTAATTGACACAAATTGGGACAATTGGTGAGATAACGCAAGTTCTCCACAAAGCACTTAAATTTAGTAATCATTGGACCAAATGTGGTGAACAAATACTGAAGAATCTGATGATCTCTATCACTGTTGAGACACATGTTATTCACACCAAAGTCTATACTCTTGAGATACGGCCAACTGTTCCGCGACTGATCGATGGCATCAAATAATGGTATCGTATATACCGAAGGCTCGTAATAATCGTGATTTATATAATCGTTGAATATTTGGACACTTTTTCTGCAGATATGTAATCAATTTTTGACACAACTCTTCATCCGACAGATGGTTATGATTAGTGTATTGAATATCGTAGAGATTGATATAGATATCATTGATTGTGTCAAAGATTACTCTCCGGAACTGTTTGGACACCAATTCGTGTTGACATTTGTCCCGAAATGTGTTTATCTGATCGTCGAATGAATGGTAAGACAATAAAAGTCGGGCCAAATCATCACCGAATCGATCGAAAGAGTCTTTTAAATACATTATATATTTACGTATTTAATTGATTAATACTCTTATGTTTGAGATTTTTGTTAACAAAGAGTGTCTTAATATTTAATACATTTTAAAAACACTTTAAACTGATTTAAATGCAAATTAAATTCAAATAACGTAGCAATTCTGCTTAACGTAATTTGCATCCGTTTTATTGTTAAACTAATTATACGGTATTATTGAAAAACACATCATTTCAATTACAATCAATTAAATATTTGTGAAACAATTGTATTGACAAAACCTAAGAGTTTTTGTTTTGTTATTCTTCCGCATTCATCTTTGATATGACAATCATTTGTAAACCAATCGTCGCTTCAATAGTGTTTATACTGACAATAGTTGGGCCGACAGACGGCTCCGAGAGAGTGGACTCTCTGTGCGTTAATCCGGTCATACATTCGGCCAATCGGTTGCCGAACGACACGTATAGAGTCTATCGCGGGAACTATTACTGGGATCTGATTGGACTGCCGGACAAAGTGAGCCAACCGTTGGGACCGTTCAAAATCACGAGCCAATACATGGCACCGGTGACCAAATACACGACTTGAACATTACAGTTAATTAGTATTTAATTGAATCAATTATTTCATTGCACAATAATTATAAATTATTGTTTAATAACTAAAATAATAATTGTGTAAAAAGTGATTCAATTAATTTACATAAACTAATTCAATGAAAATCAGTCATATTTGTATCATTAGATTCAATAAAGTTTTATTTATTTATTAAAAATATAAAAAATCGCAAATTAATAGATTAGTACAATATATACGTATAATTATTGAATAATTTTTCTAAAACATTAAGAAATAACAAACAATTAAAAACTAAAACAATATTAATCATGGTAAATTGAATTAACGATAAAATATATTAATGGCAAATCTGTTCATAAATGTGAATAAAATCTAATATTAAACTCATAGACCTGTACTTATTGGTGATGAGCTCTCACTTGGGATACCTTAGCCTTGAGGGCGAGGATGGCATTGATCTTTTCGTTAATGAGATCCAACACCCGATCCGAGTACTCATCCATATCGTAGTCCACCGAAGATGTCGTCTCCAGAAGCTCGGCGTTGGCGTCAGTGAAGGCCGGGAAGTCCTACCCGTCAGGCAATACAAAAACAATAGAGTGATTGCAAACCAATTTATCACAAAATCATACTCTTATAAGCTCTTCGTGTCCGCCGATCATCTGGTCCTCCAGTTCTTGGAAATCGGGCTCAAAATCTGTGGCCAACTCCTCATCGATTTTATGCAAATTACATTTAGTGAGCGCTCGCCTTTGAGTGACCAATGAGGGCGCGATCTATAAATATGTAGATCCAAGCGATCATCAATTATTTACAAACAAAGCATCGATATAAAATTACTTACTTGTGGTATAACTACATGTGGTATAACTTCGTGAGTTATGTCTGCAATTACATCACCGATACCGTCGGCGCCGTACTCTTCATCCTCTTCTTCTTCCTCCTCCTCTTCTTCCTCGTCATCCTCTGCCTCATAGTCGGCCGCATCCGTGTCCTCATCGCTACCGTTGACAGCAATGCCACGAATAGGACTACGAGTGTCCGCCCGAAGCTCTTTCACCCGATCCGCGTAACGCAGAGTATTCAACGTGTGTTCACACGATTGCATTGTCGGCGATATCATCGCTATCTATAGCCCGCACAACAAAATGCATTCATAGTTAAGAGCTTAAGAGACGGGACAGTCGGCAGGCCGTAACACACATACCATACAAGTGCTGGAATTTTTGCCGATAAACGAGTCGCGCAACACCTGTGTCAAAGTGCTGCCCCGGAAGGGCAGGTGAGCGCCCTTTCGGCCCAACGCGCGGATACACTCTTTGAGGGCCAAAAGTGATTTGTTAATGTCGGCCGTTTCGACGGCGATCTGGCGACTGTCGGCGCCGGTGTCGGCCCCCCTCTCGTTGCCGGCTAAGTCCACGAGCGAGAACTTGCCCCTCAGGGCCCCCCTCTCCGAGCGCAACACTATCTGAAAGACGGCGTGCGATCGCGACGAGTGTCGGTTCACCGAAGTGGCGCCCGATGTGCGCAAATGTGTCCCATTTTGGATGTACTTCAACACTGAGCTGACACTATCGACCGGACACTCCTGAAGATTCACCACTTGGACGCGTTGACGGCTGTCCTCCAACACCCGGAGCTTTGCTTTTTTGTTTAACAGATCCATTACCTGAAATCACAAACAATTTTATAACACATACCCTCCCAATCGTGCCAAACATACCTGTCCGCCATATATCTCGAAAAACGACACATAGACGCCAATATTTTGGGACCGGTATTCCGGGGCCCGGAGTCGGGCGAACACATCGGTGGCGGCCATCGCGTAGATACCGTTGCCGGCCATCTGAGCGCCGGCGGTCTGAAAGTCGCCGCCCATTGTATGTGTCTTACCGCTGCCGGTCTGGCCGTAAGCGAAACACGTGGCCATCGCGCCGGCGAACACCGTGTCGATCAACGGCCGGGCGGTGTACTCGTAGACCAGGGCGTTGTCGGCGGTCTCGTCAAAGGCGTAATCAAAGCGGAAGGTGTGGTTCTCCAGATATGGCGTCAAATCGACTCTGTGTTTGAATTCGTGGACCAAAACGGACCGGGCGTTCGGCACCGACAGCACATCCGTGTCTTTGCGGCCCATTTCGGCTCCGTTTAGCGGACGCTTACGTACGGCGACGCATATACGCGGCCGACTCGTCACCGGCGGGTATACGATGGCCGGTTGGCACAGGTGTTGGGCCCGATATCTGTCGACCATAGAGGCCAGTGTGTTGTCCGCTGTCAGGCGTGACTGCGATCGGGCGGCCGCTGTGTTGACTAACGATTTGCGATCACTGGCCCCGGGATCGGCCGATTTGGACCGGCGTGTGGTCATGGAGTGCCGCTCATATATACGCTTGCTTTGCACAGACATGTCTTGTGGTGTAAATAGTAATTGAATTTAATATTCAGACAATTATGTGTTAATTAGACGTAAAGTCGTTGACTACTAAACACACAATGATTTTTAAATTGAAAAATATACTAATCTAACAATTCATTTCCACATAGCTTTACATGTGGTTTACATGTAGTAAATGAGTGTTGAATAGCTCTGTATTGTAAACTTAAAAGCAATACTGATTTATCATATCAGATAAGATTAAAGTGATTATATTTTTCCACTTATATTAATGTTGAATAAATGTGCACATGTACGTGCACTGTATAGATTACATCTATTAGATGTACTGTATAGCAATTGATCAATGTTTTATTTCTTAAAGTTTGAGTTATTTTTCTATTAACATGAAAAAATTGCTAAAATGCAAGAATTGTGATGTAATAAATGATAAGTAATCTAATAAATCCCATGTAACCCAATCATACAATTTATGACATATAAAAATTATATTGAAAATTTATTGCAATTTAATGTAATTTAATTATACATTGGTTTTATTATAGATCTTTCATACAGTTCATGATTAATACATTAAATACAAAAATACAATTAATTTATGAATTATTAAAATAAATGAATGATTGAATGGCTATTAAGTGGTGTTGTGTTTGAAAGTGTGCTGTTATGCGAGTCCGGCGTCTTTGGCGAGTGAGTGAAAGATCGAGCGGTCATTCTGTAGGAGAGTCTGCGGGGCGTCAAACTCGGCCACCCGTCCGAAGTCGAGCACCAGAACCCTATCCGAGTCCATAATAGTGTGCAACCGGTGGGCAATCGTAAGGATTGTACAGCGAGTGAACTTAGCATCCGTCTCGAGGTCTACGGCAGCCGTCGCCTCGTCTAAGATCAGGATATTTGTGTTCCGCAGCAGAGCTCTGGCCAAACACATCAGTTGCCTCTGACCCACACTTCAGCACAAATACATCAAATCATTAGTTCATTATTTAAAAAGTTTTAGTTATATTGAAAATTTACCTCAAATTCTCTCCGCCTTCAGAAACCTTATAATGAATGCCGGCGTCAGTGCTCTTCACAAACTCAAGTAGATGTGAGTGCTCTAAGGCTGTCCACACCCTCTCATCCGTGTACTTATTAAACGGATCCAAATTTGTACGAATAGTACCCGCAAACAGCACCGGGTCTTGTGGTATAATCGTTAGCTTTGAACGCAACTCTTGGAGTCCTATTTTACTGATATCCACGCCATCGATCTCTATCCTACCAAATGCTGACTCTATTAGCCTGAATAGCGCCAGAGTTAGTGATGATTTCCCGGCACCGGTTCGGCCAACTATTCCCACTTTCTCTCCCTTTCTTACGTTAACATCGATTCCCTTTAATACCAAATCCAATCCCTCTCTATATCGGGTGCCGTATTCGACGAACTCTACTCTACCCTCTTGTGGCCACTCCTCTGCCGGCGGGTTCGCTGAATGCCATTCGGCCTCCGATTCAACATTAGAGTACTCGTCAATCCTCTCGACGGCCACCACATTGTTCTCCATCTCCGCAAACATCCGAACCCCCCAATTGAGTACTAGTGTTATGTTAAGCGCGTACGATATGGACAGTCCTATCTGTGCGCCGTCCAGACTGTTCCTCGAGAGTACTGACAGTAAGGCCGCGAAGAAAATGATTAAATTTGCCAAAAACTCGAGTCTAATAGACAGCCAACAGTTGGCGATAGCGTTGGGATAGAAACACATTTGATTGTTGTCTACCCTCTGGTCGGACACATGAATGAAGCGGTCGTTTGCGCCGTACGCTCTGATAGTCGTCACTCCGTTCAGTGTTTCACTGAAATGAGAGTAAATCGGAGATCGAGAGACTGACTCCAGGCTATAGACAGATATAATACAATGATTATTAGATTATAAATTAATTAGCATTTAATTTAAAAATCACTACCGTTTCAATTGTCGAGATGTCGTGACATAAAACTTTTGTATCAAATAATAAACACCCATTACGGGCACGAATACAGCTATAAATATCGGTGTTTGTATTGAAATTGTCACTAAAATAGCCAGAGTTTGAAATACTGTACTTCCAAGTACTCTGTTATATAGATAAATAACAATTAGGATTAATTAATTATTATTTATAACACAAATCTATGAACAAAACAAACCTTAAAGTCATTTGCATAATAGTGTCCAATATATCGATGTCTTTACTAAACCTATTGATAACCCGACCCATAGGTGTGGTGTCGAAGAAGTGCATCGGAGCGTGAATTATGTTTGTCAACAGTTTTTGATGCAAATTACGCGATGCTAAAAGTGACCCTGCTACAATCGCACACCACGCGTACCACACAAACAACCCCTGACTTAAGCCAATAATAGCATAAATGCCTAAATAAAAGCCACTCTTAGCGCCGCCCTCTGGGTCTTCAGTCCAGTACGTGAGCCAAAAACTGGAGCCACTATTGCAGGCATTGGTGGCCGCGTAGCCGCAGATTATGCTAACCGTCCAAAAGGTTGACATCGCTTTCGCAAACTTCTTGTATATCTGTGGTTATGACAGATTATTAGTTTTTATGTACTCAACACTTACGGTATATGAGAGTAACTATACCTCAAACTTAACACTTCCCGTTCCCATAGTTTCCAAATCAACTAATTTTGATTTATCGTTATTTGTCTCAGAGATGACAGGAGTCGTCGGTTCCGATCAACTGCGGGCTACAGACTGGGGGAGACTGCTCACGCTCGATAGCCACAGCAGCAGCTGTTGTAAACACCACATGACAGGCTACTCAAGTCGCTTCAGAGGGAAATCACGGTAGTCAAGCAGTATTCTGCCATAATCTGTGATTTTTCCGTTTTTCAGAACAACAATGTAGTCGACGTCCGGCAAAACAAACAGACTGTTTGTCACCAAAACTCTGGTCTTATTGTGTAATAAACCGGTTCTAGTCGAGTTGTGGAGTAGGTTATATACAAACGGGTGTACTGACAGGTGACGTCTGTTGCCCAGCAGTTTGTCTATCTCTAGCCGCAGACTTATCTGTCGAGCCCGATTCCTTTGGGAAACAAAGACTGGGCCGCTTAAGTTAATACCCTTTTCGCCGATCTCTGTCTCGTCTCCGCCGGCGAGTGTCAACAGATCCGACTTCAGAGCACACGCTTTGATGATCTTTCGGTATTTCTTGGAATCAAACTCTTTGCCAAACAGTATATTGTCTTTCAAAGTGGCGTTTTGTATCCACGCCTGTTGTGGTACATAAGCTAACTCTGAGTTCCCATTGATATTCACACTTCCACTGCATATCTCCATATCTCCCAACAGAGCCGACAACAGAGAGCTTTTACCGGAGCCCACATTCCCAACGACGGCCACAAACTTGCCTTTCATTACTTTAAGGTTAATCTTGTCGAGAGTGGGTTTGAGACCCCCGTCCACCACATCCTCCACTCTTTCCCACGTAAACGAAGCGTTTTTCACTTTTATTACCTCTTTTTCGTCACTATTTCTGGTCACATAACCCGTCAGTTCTGAGAAATTCAAGAACTTATCCAAACGTTTAATGGATACCAATGTCTTAATTAAACAAATTAATAATGTATTTTATTAATATATTGAATATTATAAATTCATATATGGTTAAAATAGAATAAACAATATAAAACACTAACCAAAACGAGCGTGGTGATCATGTTAGGGACCATAGTCAAGGGCATTCTTAGCAAATTAAACAACGATATGGAGACAAACGCTTTTTGTGCGTCTAGTTTACCATTTTCATCGATGGCAATGTAGAGCCCGAATGTGACCAGCGATACAAAGAATGGCGTACAGGAGGCCAATACGATCATCACCGAGTTGAGCATGCCACTTCGCCGGATACGGTCCAACTCACGGCGCCTGATGTCCATTATGTTGGCCACAAACGCCTCCTCCCAGCCGTACAGCTGAACACAAATTACATTATTAAATTATTAATTATCTGCACAAATACATTATGACCAGTTATATACCTTGAGCACTTTAATGCCGCTGAGTATCTCGTTCAACGAGCGCACCCTATCGTCTTTGAGTTTCATTTGTTTCGCTTGAATGGCCCGCACTTTGGCGCTGACCCACCCGTTTACCGGCACCATCACAATCATCAGCACCAGACCACCCATAGTGGCGATGCCTAACTCGTTATACAGCAGCCACAGCGATATGCCTATCTGTACCGGCGCTGTGTATACAAAGCTTATAAATGGCAACATATCTGCGAGAATTAGAATTAATTTTAATTAATATTTAGATTTTGGTTAAATTGTTATAAAATATAAAATACAAATACCAGAAAATCTTTGTGAGTCGACTGCCATTAAGTTAACAATTTCTCCAGAAGTTGTGCCAGACTTTGAGTGATTGCTTAATACCAATGACTTTCTATAGACAGCTGACACCAGACATGCCCTGATCCTCATTCCTGGATGAGAGTTAGATTTTAACATGATAAATGTTGTGACATTGTGCATTTAATCTAAACATACCTAACACAGCCATACGCTGCGACTGATAACCGTTGATTAGGCTTTGGAAAGTGTTGGTCAGTATAAGCAGCAGTGCGTACATATAACCATGCCAATTTTGCTCATTTGGATCAGTGGTGAAACCAATCAACATCCTTAATTGCAATAAAATTTATAAATTTATAAATGAACAAGTTAAGGTTTGTTAATTATAATAATATATATACTTCATAATCTCCGGATTGACGAGTTGCATGCAGTCGGCCATCAATTTCAAAATACTGGGTGTAATGAAGTAAAACCAAAACCCTTTGGTAATCACTGTTAACAATTTTGTCGGTTTCTTTGCCGGTGACTCCGGTTTCGTGGCGTTCATAGACTGAGACTTAATATCCGCCCCGTTTGCGGTCAACTCAGACACCAGTGACTCGTCGGCGGCGTCGAGGGCTCCCTTTTTCCATAACCTGTTAAACTCTCCGTACACTGTCTTACATGAGTCCTCGTGGCGTACGGCCCACAAGTCATCTCTGGTCAGTGGACTCCTCCAGCCCTTCATTATGAGCCCAGTTATCCACCAGAAGGACAGTCTCGATGGGAAGGATGCCGTCTCTTTGGGGCACACTTTTAAGTGATTGGCGTGTTTTTCGTTACCGTTATTGTCATACGTCGGCAATCGGTCCGGAAATGAGTTTATTATAAACAGTATTACTGTTAATGAATACTGTATTATAAACAACACGTATTCGTGACTCTGTCTGATGTCGTCCAGTGAATACGTGGCCACCGATAGGGCGCCGAACACTGTGTCCAACAAAAGGTAGAACCACACGATTCCACTGCAATGAACGCCTGATCTCTGGTGACAGTATAGGACCAGACATAACAGTAGTCGTGTAATTGAATACATGGCCGTCGAGATCAGGTACGAGACGGCGGGCGAGTCGTCGAACTGGAACTGCCTTAACATACATAGTATGAAGTCTACGACAGTCACCACCGATAGAGTCAGCGCCGTAGCCATACGGGCGCTGTTGTATGCGTTCCACCCGATGGCCGGCCGTCGGGTGCGGAACGTATCGACAATAGTATACGGCAAACAAAGACAGAAACAGATGGTCGGAATCCATGTAAATGCTGTTTCGGCGATACAGGCGCTTAGTTTTGGTGATGTGGTGTTCCAGCTCTGTTGGCTATCCTATATTATAATTTTTATGTAGATAAAAAAATTTATTTTATCTAAATTGCATTTTTTCTCATATTTGTAAGATTTATAATGAAAATAAATGATTTAAAGATAAAGTTACTTTACTTTACATATAATGTTTAATTGTATACACATTGATATCAAATTAATGTATCAAAAACATTTCTACTTAAGCCTAATTCTAACATTAAGTTATAATAATAGATTAATGTATTTATTTACAATAATAGCACTTATAATCTTAGATAATGTAAATATTTCATTGTTTTTCAGGTACTCAATGCTATTATTAACTTATAGTTATAGTAAATAAATTAAAATACATACCCATAGATAGGAATCACATATTGAATCAAACGTATTGATATAAGTCATTATACAGAAAACTATATTAAAAACTAACTTAACAAGTTCATTTATAAAATTATAAAATTTCTAATTACAAGTAATAATTAAATTAAATTAATATTTTAATTAAAAGAATTATGGAATAATTACAAATTTTATTAAATATGAAAAAGTAATATTTGCAATTGCAGGTAATAAGTAACAATTTGCAAGATGAGCTTAATGTTTATATACAAATTAAAAAATAACATTGTATGCACTGAAATAATAAAAATGTTTTATTATAAATATACTAATTAATCTTTACATCGTAATTACATTGTAATATTATATTGTGTTATATTATGATAATGATCTAATTAATTTAGGTACAGCAAGTTCATATGAAATTTTTACAATTATGATCAAGCTCTTTATTGTGTATTTATTTAAAATATGGATCTAAAATTATTATTTATTTGTAAAAGGTACCCTTTAAAATTACTAGATATATTTTTACTGTTATCTAGATAATATGATAAAATTCAGTAATCTCTCTCTCTCTCTCTCTCTCTCTCTCTCTCTCTTACAGTATATTGTCTTTCAAAGTGGCGTTTTGTATCCACGCCTGTTGTGGTACATAAGCTAACTCTGAGTTCCCATTGATATTCACACTTCCACTGCATATCTCCATATCTCCCAACAGAGCCGACAATAAAGAGCTCTTACCGGAGCCCACATTTCCAACGACGGCGACAAACTTGCCTTTCATTACTTTAAGGTTAATCTTGTCGAGAGTAGGTTTGAGACCCCCGTCCACCACATCCTCTACCCTTTCCCACGTAAACGACGCGTTTTCCACTTTTATTACCTCTTTTTGGTCCTTATTTCTGTTCACATAACCCATGAGTTCCGAAAAATTCAGGAATTTATCCAAACGTTTCACCGATACTAATGTCTAAATTCATTAAATATAAAGAATATTGTTTAAAAACCAGTTAATAACTATTTATACAAGCTATACAATACTAACCAAGATCAAACTTGTAACCATATTTGGCACTATAGTTAAGGGTATTCTTAACAAATTGAATAAAGCTATTGAAACAAACGCTTTCTGAGCGTCTAATGTGTTTCCCATCGCTATGTATATACCAAATGTGACCAAAGCTACGAGAAATGGCGTAATGCCGGCCAATACAACCGTCACACCACTTATTAGACCACTTTTACGGATCAAATTCAACTCCCGGCGCCGTATGGCCAGTATATTATCCACAAACGCCTCTTCCCAACCGTATAACTATTATGTTTGCAAAATACACATTAAAACTGATAATAATAATTCAATGAACTAATTCAAAAATAAATCTACCTTGAGCACTTTGATACCACCAAGTATTTCATTCAAACCCCGCACTCTTTCATCCTTAAGTTTCATTTGTTTTGTCTGAATCTTCTGGATCTTAGCGCTGACATAACCATTGATGGGAATCAACATAAGCATCACTACGAGTCCACCAAACGTGGCGTAACCCATCTCGTTGTATAGTAAATACAGCGAAATGCCCACCTGTACCGGTGCTGTCCATAGGAAACTTAGATACGGCAACATATCTGGCAAACAGATAGCAAACAGATATTAATACAACTAATAATTTACATATGTTTTTTAATGTATTGATAGTAATGTAATATAGATACTGACCGACAAATCTCTGAGCGTCAACTGCCATGAGATTAACGATCTCTCCAGAAGTGGTGGCAGTCTTTGAGTGATTGCTTAATACCAATGACTTCCTATATACGGCTGATATCAGACATGTCCTAATCCTCATACCTGTTTCCATACAGTACTTGTAAGCATTGATTTTGATATTTTAACCAAATGTTTATTACAGTATACACTTACCCAACACAGCCATACGCTGTGATTGATAACCATTGATAAGACTCTGGAAGATGTTGGTGAAAATAAGTAAACAGGCGTACATATAGCCGTGCCAATCGGGCTCAAGTGGGTCAGTAGTGAAAGCGATCAAAAGCCTAATTATTTAATTAATAATTGATAACAACTTGAATTAATTTCAATTAACTTTATCCAAATAATCAACTAAAAGTAGAAATGTAATGCACATACTTCATAATCATAGGGTTGGCCAGTTGTACGACATCGGCCACCAATTTTAAAATACTTGGTATAAGAAAATAAAACCAAAACGCTTTCCCAATTACTGTCAATAGTTTTTGTTTTTGTGGCTTTTGTGATGTTTTAATATTTTTGTTAAAATTGTTGTTATTTTCTAAATCCTTAATCGATTGGTACTTAATATCGCCGGACTTTCCGCTCAACTCCGACACCACTCTTTCGTCGTCTTCGGCGGTCAACTCTTCCACTAATTTAGTGCCTTTCCATATACTGCTGAACTCGCCGTACACTTTACGGCACCGGTCCTCTCGGCGCACAGCCCACAGGTCAGCGCTGGTCAACGGATTCTTCCAACCCTTCAGTATTAATCCTGTTATCCATTCAAAAATCAATTTCTGCGGGAAAGAAGCCCTCTCTTTGGGACAGACGCGGGACTGTCCGCCGAGTTTATCGGTATAGTTGTCTTCAGGCAGTCGATCCGCGAATGAGTTTATTATAAATTTATCCATTCAAAAATCAATTTCTGCGGGAAAGAAGCCCTCTCTTTGGGACAGACGCGGGACTGTCCGCCGAGTTTATCCGTATAGTTGTCTTCAGGCAATCGGTCCGCGAATGAGTTTATTATAAACAGTATTACTGTTAATGAATATTGAATAATAAAAAGTATGTATTCGTGACTCTGTCTGATGTCAGTCATTGTTATGCACTGGTGTCTATCACACGACTTCTTACACAGCTAGTTCTCCATCTTGGTGTGCTAAGGTGACGTTACTTACGGGCTATAAACAACCGTTATTTCATGCTCTGTTATCTGATTAGCACACCACGAATACATGGCCGTCGAGATCAGGTACGAGACGGCGGGCGTGTCGTCGGACTTGAACTGCCTTATCATACATAGTATGAAGTCTACGACAGTCACCACCGATAGGGTCAGCGCCGTAGCCATACGGGCGCTGTTGTATGCGTTCCACGCGATGGCCGGCCGTCGGGTGCGGAACATGTCTGCGATTACTACCGGTAAACATATCCACAGAAATAGGGACGGAATCCATGTGAAGGCCGTTTCGGCGATGCAGGCGCTAAATTTGGGACGAGTTGTGTTCCAACTTATTTGGCTATCCTGTGTTTATGATCATGCACAAATTGAGTAATTAAAAAATTTTATTAAGTCATAAGTTATAAGTCATAACATTGTTTTAGTCATATGTTTAAAGTATTATTTTAAAAGCAATTAATTTACGGTAATTATTGTTAATTATTAAACAATAGTACGTTATGAGTACATAGAGTAGGTGTATGTATTAAAATCACACACATGTGTTATCACTCCCGTATATCAGTGACATTAAGTGCAATACTTGTGGGCGGATCTATGCCTTTATTACCCGTATATGCTTTTATGACTGAACTCATTAAGGTATAATTAATTCTTGTGGTAGATTGATCGTATTTACAACGTTGATTTAAGTGCATTAGGGTTGTGTTGTCTAAATGCTAATTATATTTGCGTAGACTATGACCATTAAATAATAAGCAATAATTATACGCTTTAATAAATATTTTTGCAGAAATGTGATTTTTATGGACTTATTATGTGTAAATTATTTATTTGTCTAGTTTATATCTACGTTTAATTGCTTAAATGCAAACATTAGCACTAATAAAACCACAAGCCATGACTTTGAATGCATATAAAGTTAGTTTATAAAATGAATAACAAAAATGTGCTTGTTTGTTTGCAAAATAAATTCAAGTGGATGCTAGTTCAATTTATTTTAGGGGCAGTTTGGCCAATTATTTTTGACCTATAAATTATGAGAACATTTATACATAACTCGTGATATAATTTAGGTACATGTGTGCGATTATTTTAGTACAAGTGCACTCCATTGTGCGATTGGTTAAAATGCTTCACAATTTATAATAAACTCATTCGCGGATCGACTGCCTGAAGACAACTATACCGATAAACTCGGCGGACAGTCCCGCGTCTGTCCCAAAGAGAGGGCTTCTTTCCCGCAGAAATTGATTTTTGAATGGATAACAGGATTAATACTGAAGGGTTGGAAGAATCCGTTGACCAGCGCTGACCTGTGGGCTGTGCGCCGAGAGGACCGGTGCCGTAAAGTGTACGGCGAGTTCAGCAGTATATGGAAAGGCACTAAATTAGTGGAAGAGTTGACCGCCGAAGACGACGAAAGAGTGGTGTCGGAGTTGAGCGGAAAGTCCGGCGATATTAAGTACCAATCGATTAAGGATTTAGAAAATAACAACAATTTTAACAAAAATATTAAAACATCACAAAAGCCACAAAAACAAAAACTATTGACAGTAATTGGGAAAGCGTTTTGGTTTTATTTTCTTATACCAAGTATTTTAAAATTGGTGGCCGATGTCGTACAACTGGCCAACCCTATGATTATGAAGTATGTGCATTACATTTCTACTTTTAGTTGATTATTTGGATAAAGTTAATTGAAATTAATTCAAGTTGTTATCAATTATTAATTAAATAATTAGGCTTTTGATCGCTTTCACTACTGACCCACTTGAGCCCGATTGGCACGGCTATATGTACGCCTGTTTACTTATTTTCACCAACATCTTCCAGAGTCTTATCAATGGTTATCAATCACAGCGTATGGCTGTGTTGGGTAAGTGTATACTGTAATAAACATTTGGTTAAAATATCAAAATCAATGCTTACAAGTACTGTATGGAAACAGGTATGAGGATTAGGACATGTCTGATATCAGCCGTATATAGGAAGTCATTGGTATTAAGCAATCACTCAAAGACTGCCACCACTTCTGGAGAGATCGTTAATCTCATGGCAGTTGACGCTCAGAGATTTGTCGGTCAGTATCTATATTACATTACTATCAATACATTAAAAAACATATGTAAATTATTAGTTGTATTAATATCTGTTTGCTATCTGTTTGCCAGATATGTTGCCGTATCTAAGTTTCCTATGGACAGCACCGGTACAGGTGGGCATTTCGCTGTATTTACTATACAACGAGATGGGTTACGCCACGTTTGGTGGACTCGTAGTGATGCTTATGTTGATTCCCATCAATGGTTATGTCAGCGCTAAGATCCAGAAGATTCAGACAAAACAAATGAAACTTAAGGATGAAAGAGTGCGGGGTTTGAATGAAATACTTGGTGGTATCAAAGTGCTCAAGGTAGATTTATTTTTGAATTAGTTCATTGAATTATTATTATCAGTTTTAATGTGTATTTTGCAAACATAATAGTTATACGGTTGGGAAGAGGCGTTTGTGGATAATATACTGGCCATACGGCGCCGGGAGTTGAATTTGATCCGTAAAAGTGGTCTAATAAGTGGTGTGACGGTTGTATTGGCCGGCATTACGCCATTTCTCGTAGCTTTGGTCACATTTGGTATATACATAGCGATGGGAAACACATTAGACGCTCAGAAAGCGTTTGTTTCAATAGCTTTATTCAATTTGTTAAGAATACCCTTAACTATAGTGCCAAATATGGTTACAAGTTTGATCTTGGTTAGTATTGTATAGCTTGTATAAATAGTTATTAACTGGTTTTTAAACAATATTCTTTATATTTAATGAATTTAGACATTAGTATCGGTGAAACGTTTGGATAAATTCCTGAATTTTTCGGAACTCATGGGTTATGTGAACAGAAATAAGGACCAAAAAGAGGTAATAAAAGTGGAAAACGCGTCGTTTACGTGGGAAAGGGTAGAGGATGTGGTGGACGGGGGTCTCAAACCTACTCTCGACAAGATTAACCTTAAAGTAATGAAAGGCAAGTTTGTCGCCGTCGTTGGAAATGTGGGCTCCGGTAAGAGCTCTTTATTGTCGGCTCTGTTGGGAGATATGGAGATATGCAGTGGAAGTGTGAATATCAATGGGAACTCAGAGTTAGCTTATGTACCACAACAGGCGTGGATACAAAACGCCACTTTGAAAGACAATATACTGTTTGGCAAAGAGTTTGATTCCAAGAAATACCGAAAGATCATCAAAGCGTGTGCTCTGAAGTCGGATCTGTTGACACTCGCCGGCGGAGACGAGACAGAGATCGGCGAAAAGGGTATTAACTTAAGCGGCGGTCAGAAACAAAGGGTTTCCTTAGCCCGAGCTGTCTATTCAGACGCCGATCTCTATNAAGAGAGAGAGAGAGAGAGAGAGAGAGAGAGAGAGAGATGGAGAGTGCGTAAGAAGAGAGAGCAAGTAAGTGCTCATGTGTCCATGTTAATGTATGACAGTGAGTGCAAATAAACGTTTTATTATGCTATTTTTACAAGTTAGTTATATGAAATGTGCACACAGCTTATTCAATAAGCGTTTACCATAGATGAGTTTTTATTGCTAACAATTATCTTCCCCTTCCAGTGATGAATTCATATTTATTATAACATGATAATGAAAATATATCAGTAATTAAACCACTGTTATACATTAGGCATTAGTTTTCTAGTTAAATAACACTAAATTAATATTAATTACTAAACATAATATAGTATATAAAATATTTTTTTTATAATAGGAGACTCCGGTTTGATTTTGGTTACAATATATAAATACCGGTTCGCATAGAGTTTGAGCATTCAGTATATGCCTAACTCTCTGATCGACAGTTTGTGGAGTTTTTTAAATTTTATTCCTGGTATTAAAACAGGACTAATATTATCAATAAAATAAGTATTTAATGCTAAATAATAATTGATTTGATACATGTGTATTCTATCATGTTATATAAATGTAACAATAAACAGTTTTTCCATAAATTAAATTAATTGTTTTAGTTGATTGATATTTATTTGTGTATTAAAATAATTACTATTTAATTAAAATGAGTGTTACAAACACTTTTGATAGTATCTGTGATTCTCCACTTTGGGTATGTATTTAACTATTGATTTAAATATATCATTAAAATCCAATACAATTAACAATTATATTGACATTTATACTTTTAATGCAATATTATTTTTATTTCCTTACAATCAATTAATAAATCATTAAATTTTGTTTTTATTTATGCACTTATTTATAAACTATTTATTATTGTCATTTTGCAATATACAATGTAAATGACATTGTCGAGAGTACATAGAGGAAGTGTGTTTAATTTACATAATGTACATTATTGAAAATAATAATAAAAAATTATCATAATGAGTTAATTTGTTAATAAGTCAACGGATGAAAAATTTGTAATTTTATAAATTAGAATTTCTTAACTAAATTAAATGTGATTTTATAATTGTTGTTTTAAATTAACTACATGTTATTTATAAGTATTTTAAAGGGCATTTAGGTTAACTGCTGCTAGATTACTTATTGTATTTATAGTACGTGAAATATTAATATATGATTAATTTAATCAATATATTATTTATAGAATTTATTGATAAAAGTATTATATTAATAAATGATAATTTTATAAATATATTTGGATATATTACAATAAAATTAAGCAATTTTTATTTTAATTAAATGGCATTTAAACTAATTATTTTCTATCATTAGTAATAATAATTTTAATTCTAGTGAAAAGCTATAGTTTATAGGAAATAAATAATCATTTTATTTTAATTTAAAGAATAAAATTACGAAATTTTATTTAATTGGAAAGGGATGATGTATTTAATCATAATAACTGTACAGTATTTGCATTAAAATGACATTTATCAAATATTTTAGTATTTTTTAATTGTGTGACACATGTTCACCATATGATTTACAAATAATTGCATTTAATTAATTAATTAACGGAGAGAGAGAGAGATGGAGAGTGCGTAAGAAGAGAGAGCAAGTAAGTGCTCATGTGTCCATGTTAATCTATGACAGTGAGTGCAAATAAACGTTTTATTATGCTATTTTTACGAGTTAGTTATATGAAATGTACACACAGCTTATTCAATAAGCGTTTACCATAGATGAGTTTTTATTGCTAACAATTATCTTCCTCTATTAATAATGAATTTATATTTATTATAACATGATAATGAAAATATATAAGTAATTAAACCACTGTTATATATTAGGCGTAAGTTTTCTAGTTAAATAACACTAAATTACTATTAATTACTAAACATAATATACAATATAAAATATTTTTTTATAATAGGAGACTCCGGTTTGATTTTGGTTACAATATATAAATACCGGTTCGCATAGTGTTTGAGCATTCAGTATATGCCTGACTCTCTGATCGACAGTTTGTGGAGTTTTTTAATTTTATTCCTGGTATTAAAACAGGACTAATATTATTATTAAAATAAGTATTTAATGCTAAATAATAATTGATTTGATACATGTGTATTCTATCATGTTATATAAATGTAACAATAAACAGTTTTTCCATAAATTAAATTAATTGTTTTAGTTGATTGATATTTAT